GAACAATTCCTAGATATGCTTTTTAAATTTTTGTCAAGTTGTGTCATGTGCCTTACATGCTTAAATAGGTCAGGACAAACTAAAATTTTAACAGTTTAAATTGTCAATAAAAGTCAAATGATCAAGGGCAAATTAGGCCAATTACCCTATTAAATAAAACAAATTGAACAATACACTTTTAAATTAATTAAAACTATCACTACCGTAATAATTACGTTCAAAACTCAAGAAAGCCCCAAAGTAGAAACCCCAAATCGGAAACCCCTGAATCTGAAAACCCATGATAAACCCCATTCTCGACTCCGACCTCGACGCCAACGTTCTTGTAGAGAGAAAACTTCACCCACCACGTTAAGGAGCCACTTCAACCAACAAAGATGAAGACTACGAAATTGAAATGAGGCAGACAATTCCCATAGCCTGGGTGAAAACTTCTTGGTAGACTTGGTAGATATTCTCCTCAAATTGATCCCAAGTTACTATATATTGAAATAGAAGCTACTAAATTATTAGGTTTTAAGTTTTGTATAAGTGTGAATGCCTTCCATACGCTGGCCCTGTTCGGTTCTCAAATGTGAGACTAAGTTTCTACTTTGAAAACATACCAATTTTCATACTTCATCTGTATTCTTTAAAAGTTGGTTTACTGGAATTTTATTTGCCGGTTTTGATGTCCAAATGGATTGATGCTAACAAATTCACCATATTGATTAAATTATGATATGATGACCCAGACTCTCTTTTCTCTACTTGCTTCTTTCCTTTTTTTTTTTTTTTTTTAATTGTGTCAAATGCTTCTTTAATTCGTTTCAATTTGAACGTGGTTGCGAAATTTCTTATTAGAGATGTTATTTGTGAAAGATATGATCGATGATCGAGATTGCCACAACTCCATATCTCGTAATTGATCGGATCATATTGACTGGGATTATAGTTTCACGGTAAACGAACGAATTTGGTTTTGTCATACCACGTGACATTTCCCGTCACATGTATTGCCCTGACACATTGCTAGATGTCAATCAGGGACGGCGAATGTGAATTGACGATAAATTAAAAGGGTGTTTTAATTTATCAATTTTGATTAGATCAAAATAATATTTCACGTCGTTAGGCATCGTGGTCGGGAACCTAATGGGTCACACACAAAAGAGAATTGGAAGATTGCAAATTGCCAATTGGTTAATTTAACAATCGTTGAATAAATTAATTAATTGGATTTGTTATTTATATTTTCGAATTAATTAATTGGATTAATTAATTCACGGACCGGGTTTAATTAATTGGATTAATTAATTATTGGACCGGACCGGGCCTGTTTGGGTTTATATAAATACATAACTAGGGTTTGAGGTCCATTAAGGTTTTCATTATTCTTGCTAGCACAAGAGAAAACCCTAGAGGCTACAATCATGTTCTCTGTGTGGATCACCGTTGGAGGCTGAACAATTGGACAGCTGTGGTGGCGAATCAAAGTTGTGGAACAAAAAGAAAAGCAAAAGGATTGCAGATCTGGAAAAGGTACAATCTTATCACAATTCCTAACCAAACACAATGAGATCTATTGGATGGGAATCGAAATAATTTAATTTTCCGCTGTGCATGTATAAGTAGATTCCCAACACCTGCCCCCACCAAATACACCACACTGAATCCAAACAACATCACAGAGACAGAAAAATTTGTTCCCAGTTTAACAGAAGAATTCATTGCCTGGCAAAAGTCCGATCGTCTCCTTCGAGGATGGATCATTGGAACACTTTCTGAGGAAACTCTTGGACTCGCTGTTGGCTTAGACACAGCCCATGCAATATGGGAAGCTCTCAAAAATGCATATGCACATGATTCACAGGAACGCGAGTTCAACTTACGACAGCAATTGACTTACCTTCGCAAGGAGGAAGACAAAACCATTGGAGATCATATTTGCACCTTCAAAGGATTGTATGACAATCTTGCAGCCATCGACAAACCCGTCCCTGACCAAGAGAAAGTTTTCTGCCTTCTCATTAGTCTTGGGCCTCAATATGAAACCTTCACAACAACCATGCTAAAGCCACCAAGACCAACATACAACGAGCTGATTTCACCGCTCAAAATCTTAATCAAAGGCGTAGTTGGTTTTCTAATCATGTCGATCCAACGAGTCCCCAGTTTATTCCTCAATTGGCGTTTTATGGACAGTAGCAGCGGTAGCCTCAATAGCCTCCCTCTAGGTATCGTGGTAACTCACAGAAATTCACTTCCACTGGGAGATGTTTCCAAGCACAACAACCCAGGGACCATAACCAAAGCTATTCGAACAACTCCACTCCTTCAACTCATCAACGTCGTACCTTATCGCCTGGACAACGTTGCATGACTTCTGCTAAAAGGGATCTATATCGAGAGGAACAATGCCAGTACTGTGGATCAATGGGTCACATCGCCAAAATTTGTTGGTGGCTACGCAAGAAGCCTACTCAACGTGATGATATACCACAAGCACTTGCAGCACTCACACTAGACAACTCCATCACAGACACTGAATGGACCTCAGACACGAGAGCTTCTAATCACATGACAAGTAAGTCAGGTATGTTAACCAACATTCATGAAGATTTTGGTATTGATTCGATTCTTATTGGAGATGAATCCTCTCTACCTATCCTTGGTATTGGTGACTCTTGCATTAAATAGAAGAATATTACCTTACCTCTTCGTGATATCCTATTTGTTCATGACTTAACAAAAAATTTGCTCTCTGTAAGTTAGCTTACTGGCCAATTTCTTGTTAATTGTGAATTCTCTAAAACTAATATTTGTGTTAAGGAACGGGATACAAGATGGCCAATAATAACAGAAAAGCACAGGGTGACCTCTACGTTCGCCCCACTTTACTAGAATTGTACTTTTCCTATAATTTCAAATCAGGATCAGCAGAAATTTGGCACTAACGCTTGGGACACCCTCAGCCTTTGGCTTTACAATTATTGAAAAATAAGAGATTAATTGATGTCACAGGGACTATGAAATCTATGCACCTTTGTGATAGTTATCAACTAGGAAAGCTTAGTAAACTACCTTTTTCCAGTTCTGAACATTCAAGTTCTGATATATCTGAAAAAATACATTGTGATTTATGGGGACCTGCCCCTATTTTGTCTATTGGTAAATTTAGATATTATGCATGCTTGGTCGATGATTTCTCTAAATAAACTTGGATCATTCCATTACAACATAAATTTGATTTTTTTACTGCTTACATCTTCATTGAGCAATATGTTACGAGGCAATTCAACAAACAAATTAAAATCTTTTACTCTGATGGAGGCGACGAATTCATCAACTCAAAACTATCATCTCATTTTTTGTCTATAGGACTCATTCATCCGGTATCTTGCCCATACACTCCAGAACAAACAGGTATGGTTGAAAGACGCCATAGGATTATACGAGAACTAGGTATGACTATACTATTTCATAGTGGTACCCCTCTTTTTCTATAGTTCGAAGCCTACACTACGGCTGTCTGCCTTATGAATTGCCTACCTTCATCTGCTCTCAATTTTGAGACCCAATATTTTTGCATTACATGATATTCATCCTGTTTACTCCTCACTTTGCATTTTTGGCTCTAAATGCTTTCCTTACACTTGGGACACACGACGCCACAAATTTGATCCTAAGACTATTCCTTGCATCTTTGTATGCTATAGTGATAAACATAAAGGTTACAAGTATTTTCATCCCTCAATAATTTTTTTTTATCTCGCGACATGTTGTCTTTGATGAGTTAGATTTTCTTTATAAAACTAATCATAAAATTAATACCTCTCCCACCTGATCACAGGTCATTAGCATTTTTGATTCTTTGTTATCACATTTTGACTTCATTCCTCAACCCGAGGCTCCATCAACATATGCTTTCCTATCCCCCGCAACATCTCCTCCGCCATGCTTGAGTTCTCTGCCATCAGTGGCTCTCCACGTTCCATATCTAGGACCAGTTGACTCTTCCATCTCACTAGATTGTGCATCACCTGAAGATACGACTTCAACTCCTTCACCAGCTAGCACACAACTTGGGTTCAAACCGTCTCCATCTGTTCCTTGTGTTGCTCCTGAGCCTTCTCCCCAACCTGAATTTGAGGCTCCACTAGAGCCAACTGGTACACTAGAAATCCCCGAGCCCCCACTTGCACCAGCCTTGCACCCCATGGTCACTTGGTCTCGCTTTGGAGTTGTTAAACCCAACCCAAAGTATGCCTTGACTACCATATCCTCTGTCCATATCCTCCCAAACCTTCCAATATTCGAGAGGCCTTGGCTCATCGTAGTTGGAAAGCTGCCATTGACGAAGAACTTGCTGCCCTACATCAAAACCAAATTGGCAACTTGTCCCCTGAGCCCCTGATATGCATGTCATTGGCTCTAAGTGGGTTTTCAAGTCCAAACTCAAACTCGACAGCTCTTTAGACCGCCTCAAGGCCTGTGTGGTTGCAAAAGGGTATCATCAGATTGATGGCATAGACTATACTGAGACATTTTCTCCCATAATCAAACCAAGGATTATTCGGCTAATTATCACCATCGCTCTTGTTAAACATTGGCCCATTCGTCAATTGGATGTAAAGAACTCCTTCCTCCATGACCTTATTTTCGAGAATATATATATGCTACAACCTCTAGGAATGGTTAACCCACAGTACCCTACACATGTTTGCAAGCTTCACAAGGCTCTCTATGGCTTTAAACAAGCGCCACGCGCCTGGTTTGATCGTTTCAGTGCCTTTTTCCTTAAATAGGTTTCTTTTGCAGCTTGGCCGATCCATCCCTATTTGTTTTTCATTCCCCTTATGGTTCACTAATCTTGCTACTTTATGTTGATGATATTTTACTTACAGGTTCCACTACAGTGCTTGTTACAGCCTTTATTCATTTGCTAAGTCGTGTATTTGCTATGAAGGACTTAGGACCGTTGCATCACTTCCTTAGTATTGAAATCTCTCGAACACAAGATGGCCTTTCTCTTGTTACAATCTCATTACACCCTTGCCATACTCGAACGCTACAACATGATAGACTGTAAACCTATGAGTACACCACTTGAAGCAAAAGCCAAGACCTCCTCACATAACACTTCGTTGGCATATCCAAGTTACTTTCGCGGCCTTGTTGGGGCTTTACAATTCCTTATCCTCACTCATCCTGATCTTTCCTATAGTGTTAATTACGTTTCTCAATTCATGTATGCCCCCACCATCTTTCACTTGAAAATGGTTCGGCGCATCCTACGATATGTCAAAGGTAGTATTGACTTCGGTTTACACTTTACATCTAACACTTCACTTGATCTATGTGCCTTTTTCCATGCAGATTGGGCGGGGTGTCCCACTACCAGACGCTCCACCGCTGGCTACTGTACCTACCTTAGGGGCAACCTCATTTCCTGGTGTGAGAAGAAACAACATACAATCTCGCGCTCCAGTTCCGAGACTGAGTACCGTGCCATGGTCAACACTGCTGTAGAACTCACGTGGTTGACTTTTATTTTACACGATCTTCGCATTCCTATGGGTTCTTCCCCGATCCTGTATTGCGATAATCTCAGTGCCCTTCATATGACCGTTAATCCCGTGTTTCATGCCTGAAGCAAACACATTGAGTTAGATTACCACTTTGTCCGCGAAAGAGTTGCACTTGGCCTACTTTCCACTCGTCATATCTCCATTGATGACCAGGTTGCAGACCTTTTCACCAAGCCCATAACAAAGGCTGCCCTCAATTACTTTCTTCCCAAATTCTGCCTCCGACCCCAGCATAGTTTGCGAGAGGGTATTAGAGATGGAGATGGAAACTCCAACCATGCACTGCAGGAATCCAAGATTATCACTCAAGATCTCGCATATTCATTTAGCTCCAGAAATCACTCAACCTGCTTTGGACACGAAATCAATCAAGGATTGAACAACATATTAACATACCATTTTTACTACTGTGTTTATGAAAATCTTTTGGCTATCTGTGTATTTAAATATTTCGGCCTTGTACTCATGTTCTTATTAGAAAAAATACACAAGAAATATATAGCCTTTTTTCTTCTCACAAATTCTTTATATATTCTGCTTTGACTAGATTACAACACATTTTTTTATAAGAAAGACTAAACACCAATAATTTTTAGGATAATTCTATATGTACATTATGATGTTCAAAATGGTGTCCATAACATACACGTGAAATTCCCTGATTGGAGGATTGAAAAAACTGTTTTTCAACGCTCCAATGATGTTATTCCACTTGTACATTATGGACACCCTTATGGATAACATAATATACATGTAGCATAATCCTAATTTTTATCATTTTTACAGATCCAAATCCCACAATTACCTTTTCGGTTGTCTCTATTGTACTAGCAAGATGTTGTTTTGCCAAATCCCACCCAAATGCTAGAATAATCATCATAATTTCATCGACGTAGTACTGTGATTGTCCCTTTGATAACCCAATTTATTTCCTTTAGCAGTGGACATTACGAAATTTATTTGATAAAGTACATTTAGTACTTCTTAATTGGGGTGCCTCATTATTGCGCCACCTTCGAACACATGCCATATTTCAAGAATAAGTTATGTACAAATTTCTTTGACGATGAAGCTTTCTTCAAGATGACCAAATTTACAAAAAGAAAAAAGAAGGTATTTTCGTGATTGCATCTCAAAAATAACAACTTTTTAAAGTCTTTCAAAATTGTTCATACTATGACCACATTAGAGAGCATCCCATGGACAAATCGACACGTCTACCACATCATGCTTCTACCTACGTGGGGGCCGATGGGTGATCGGACTTGCCAAGAGTCCATCCATCGTTGATAGTGAAATAAAAATTAAAAAATTAATATTCTAATAAATTTAATTTCCCAATTAATTTCCCGATGAGATTGCGTTAATAAATAAAATAATTAAAATATGAAAATTAATAATAATGAAGAAAATTTTGTCGGTAATAAAATAAAAATTATATTACTATAAAAATTTAAATTACTGACTAGATGATGAAAAATAAGTGAATAAGAAATAAGAGTGTGTTTGATTGACATGAAAAATATCACCTAGAAAAGAAAATATTTTTCATCTTTTGTGAAAAATAAAAACCACATCTACCCAAGGAAAATGTTTTCCTTAAAAACAAGGAAAATTAGGCATATTTTCAAAAGTTGGAAAATGTTTTCCATGGAAAAAAATAGCAATCAAACACTTTAAGTAGGAATTTGGGTGGAAAACTGATAATTTCCACGGAAAATAAATGTAATCAAATATAACCTTATTTATTTATCGGGCGATTAATTAAAAAACCATCAGTGATTGCCTACATGACAAAGGTGCACTAATGATTAGTGATAGTATTGTTATGATTGATTTCGTTTGAATTACCAATAGATTTTATTTTCATCTGTTACTATCAATGATTTTTTCATTAAATTTCTTTTTTTGTGATTAACCATTGAATAGGCACAATTAAAGATGAAATATGCATAATTAAGAATTTCATCTCTAAGGCCCTCAATTGTTTGAGCCGCCTCTAAATGTTGAAAAGTCCATCTTCATATTCTTTAAGAATCACTACAATGGATTTTTTAAAATATAAATCCAACCTCAACGACAATTAAATATACAATTATAAACTATGTTAAACATGTAAACATATGCTCAATCAAAAAATATCAGTATAAAATAAATTCTTACTCATTTTTAAAGAGGTTCAAAGGTTAGCTCTAAACTCGTAGAGAACTTTCGTAGGATGGATCTATATACACATGTTAATACATCTTCCAATCAAAAATGCATTTTCACTTATTTGCTTTAGGTTCTTGGAAGTTGAAAACTCTCTAAAGGACCAAAAAATGTTAAACTTAAGTAAACCACATATTGCATGTTCGAGCATGTTTACAAATTCTTATAAGTATGTGCTCACGACTTTTTATGACTCAAAATAAATTATTGTGGTATCATGCAACAATATTGACCCATACTTTATTTTTATATTTTCAAAAAACCATATTTTAAACATTACCTGTTGAGCTTTGATACCATTTTGTTGAGTTTAAACCCCAAAAAAAAAAAAATGAAAATATTTTATTAATAATAAAAATATTTTTACAAACCAAGCACACAACTCTCACAATAATTATATTAAAGGAAGCACTAATTATCTCTCTCTCTCTCTCTCTCTCTCTCTGTCTCTCACTTGATTAGTTTCACACACATCATTCATATATATGTGCCTTTCTCTATCTCTATGCTCACTCTCTTTTTCTTCTCTTCTCTTCGTTTCTCTCACTCTTACTCTCACACACAGCAAAAATATATACACACACGCAAAGTCGGTGGCTTTCTTCTAGCTTCTTCCAATATGGAGGTGAAGGATTTTTATAGGCTTGAATGCAATTTATTTTATCTGGAATTTTCTATGAATGGTTATGAGCTTCAATTCCAACAACATTCCTATTCTTTTTAAAGTCGGTGATGATTCTTCAATTTTCCCTTTCAACATTGACTTTTCATTTTGACCCTTTTCTTTTTTGTTTCGTTCAATTTTGCCTCGACGAATTTTGAAGTGTTCGATTCTTTATTAATCACCTTTGCTACTTTAAATATATTTGGTTCTTCCATACTTTCTTCTTCTTTGATTTTTAGATTGATAATTAATTTGGTTCTTCCATACGTTCTTCTTTATTTGTGATTTTAAGTTTGTACGTACCTCAATCTCTTCTTATTGACTGGGCCTTATTTCCTCTGAATCTAACAGTTGTACCCTATGAGGTGTCTGCCAAGCATATGCTACTTCTTCCGAGTCTAATAGTTCATCCTTCTGTGAAGTCCACCAAGAAGACTCTTTATCAACCATGATGTCCTCTCTCGAGTCATCGGTCCAATCATCTTCTCCCAAATAATTAATCCAATCATCTTCACAATCCAATTGTTTAGGCACGACCACCACTAGCACATCTTCATCCTTTACACTTGGATTAAATTTCTTTTCTCGAACCTCATCAATTACTGTTGTGGATGCCTCAGCATGCCATTTTTCTTCACTATTGTATTTCTCTTACTTGTTGGAGGTTGGTACATTACTTTCTGCAAATTCCTTTTTAACCTAGTAATCTCTAGCATAATAGCCTCATTTTTCACAAACAAAACATGAGCCATTAGTTCATTAAAATTCCTTGGACAACTGGCCTCTTTTATAGCAATTTTGTTGAACTCCCCTTGTTTTATAACTTCCTTCACGTTTATTTTCTTTATTATTTTGTTGAGGGGTGTACCTCTTCTTTTATAGCTAAATAATGTTTCTTCCTCTTTTTCTCTTTTTTGAGACCCATAACATTTGTCTATTCCATGCTTCCTGATCAGCCAGCAAATTTTCAAGATTAACTAATGAAGGTCACATTGGCCAACCTTGTATTACAAAAGTAAAACTTCTAAATTCGGGTTTCAATCCATGTATATGATTATTCTTTTCATTCTGGACTCCAATATCTTACTTGATGTGTCTAACTCAAATATTTCATGACAGATAGATTGAACTTTATTAAAATATTGACTTATGGTTAATTCTCCTTGAGTGATCGAGAGAAGTTTATTCTCTAAAAGTTGCAACCTCGAGTCATTTTTCTTTGAGAATAATAGGGCCAAAGTGTCCCATGTTTCCTTTAGTGTGTTCTTATCCCTTATGTGCTACAACAATTCTTTCTCGATCGCCGTCTTTATTACAAATAAATACTTACCTGCTTTGATTCTCCATTTCTTTAGAGCACCGGTCTCTTTTGGCGACGTCACGTCATTTCCACCATCTCCCACAAGTCTTGCCATTGGAGATATGACTTCATGCAAGTTTGCCATGTAGCGTAATTCTGATTATTGCTCACTTCGCCTACCACTTGTAGGTCACTCATTGTGACTTGAATTACCCATTTATAATCAAGCAAGCTTTAGGAAAGTTTTACAATCTCTTTTTGTGCACGAACTCAAAAACATCAAAAAATCCTTCCTAACTGTCTAGCTCTAATACTAAATTGTTGAACTCTGATACCACTTTGTAAGTTTAAACCCCAAAAGAAAATGAAAATATTTTAACAAGCCAAGCACACGACTCTTACAATAATTATATTAAAGGAAGCATTAATTATTTCTCTCTCTATCCACTTGATTATTCTCACATATATCACTCATATATGTGTGCCTCTCTCTATCTCTCTGCTCACTCTCTTTTTCTTCTCTTCATTTCTCTCACTCTCTCTACTCTTACTTTCACACACAGCAAACATATATATGCACATGCAAAGTCTGTGGCTTCCTTATGGCTTCTTCCAATATGGCAGTGAAGGATTTTTCTAGACTTAACTGCAATTTATTTTATCTGAAATTTTTTATGAATTGTTGTGAGCATCAATTCCATCAACTTCCAGATTCTTCTTTAAAGTCGGTGATGATTCTTCATTACCAAACAACTGTTACACTTGTACCTTCTACAAATACCATTTCTTGATCCAATTCATTTACTTGGTCTTCCTTTTCTATTGCCAATTTATATACTCTATCTCCCTTTTCTTCTTGAGGTTTATGCTTATTTATCATAAAATTTGCTTAATCAAACACCACAACAATGGCTATGGTAGTCAAATAATTGCTTGACTACTTGACTTTGTTTACACAGCTACTTAAAATCGGGTAAAAAAACGACGGAGAGAGAGAATTGGAGATGAATTATAGTTAAGATAAAATAGAATTATAGTTAGGAATTTGATACCCACCCTATTTGGGTCTCATTATTCTCAAAACTCATTTTCAATAACACATTCTCCCATAAAATAATTTTATACTCAAACTGAAATCTTTTTCCTATTTTCTATCCATACATTCTCCAAAAAATCAATATTCTCGATAAAATTGGGCAAGATCAAATTAAGTCTAATGGAATTTACAATATGTACTCACTATTTTCTATACTCTAAACTCCCTAATTCATAATTTTATTTATTAAAAACACAGTTTCTATATATTATGCCCAACCATAGTTTCACTACAACTACCAACCATAACCACCACCCCTAAGCCTAGCATCATCGTCACCACTAATGCCATGCACCACTATTATATTCTACCAATTTTGACAAATAGGAGTGCAATTTTTATTTATTTATTTTTATTTGTATTGTTGTGACGTGAATGGGTTTGTAATTGATCTGTACTTTAGATAGGTTGTCGGTGTTTGTTTGGTCGAGGGTGGTAGATGTGATTGCTCTGAGTTCTATCTTGATTTGTGTCATGAATGGGACGTGTTGTAGGTGTTGAGTGAGGTTGACGGGCAAACATTGAATTAGACTATTAGTTTACAAAAGGCTAACACAATATTGTTATAATAAAAAATATTTCACTTTTATAAATAGTAAATTTATTAGTAAATGACAATTGTACTCTTGTAATTCTAAAAATTATGATTATTGTATCACTAAATTTTTCCTATGCATATGAGACTTTAGTTCTTATATAATACACAACTCTATTGACGTTTATTCTCTCTTATCTTTTATTCTTTTTTCTAGTACGTTATCAGTATGAAAACTTAATTTTTCAAAGTTTAGTTAAGACAATAATTCTTTAAAATATAATCATTCATCACGTGTACCAAAATTAATTTGGCAATATGTGAATTCTTTATATATATATATATATATATAAGTTTAGTTAAGATAATAATTCTTTAAAATATAATCATTCATCACGTGTACCAAAATTAATTTGACAATATGTGAATTTTTTATATATATATATATATATATATATATTTATTTATTAAATACTTCTTGTGTCTTGAACTTGATGAAGCACAAATTATCATTAATATTCCAAAAGAAAATTATTTGCTCCTGAAGAATATAGATTATTATTTTCTATATTCCCGAATAAATTTGACATATTGCTCTTGAAAAAGCAATAGTAAAATATAATGTGCTCTTGAAGTAACACATATTTCAAAGAATATTTTATTTTGAATTAGTGCTTATCTCTAAAGAAAAACATATAACTCATGTCACGCTGACAATGACTACTTAATTAATTATTATATGATTATACAATGTTTAATTATATTATTCAAAATTAATTGTATTTTCCTTATTGTATAGTTAATCAAATAGCAAATATCACAAAATTTGAGTCTGCTGCACTTGACACTTGACATATCTGACAAAAATTATCTGTCATGCCTCAATATAAATATTCATCTTATCTCAAAGCATCTTGGAGTACTTATCTTCTTTCGTCATAATCTTCATAATGGATTAAAAATTGAATCTCCCTAAGAAAGATCCACAGATTCTTTGAAAAAAATTGATTGAAAGATTTAATCATCAGAAGACTAGTCTTTTCCAAAACCCGCTAAGAGTGGATGGACATTCTGTTGCAAGATTTTAAAACCGTTAGTGAGTACAATTTTGAACAATTTAGAATATATTCAAAATTGACTTTGTATGGAAATAAATCACAGATGAAGATATGTTGACTAATATTTTTTCACTTTTTATATCTCGAATGTACTCCTGCAGCAATATCATGAGCGTGATTTCAAAAAGTACTTAGAACTCATATTTTTCATACTTCTTGTAGTTGAACAATAAAATGAACTATAGATGAAAAATCAAAGGTTAATCCAACCATATCTATACTATTACCTGAAGCAAAAGATACTGCATTGTCTGAAGTAAATATAATATAAGAACAAGGATATAGACATGGACGTGAACATGGATATAGAGATGGACGTAAACGTAGATTTGGACATGGACGAGGACGTGAATATGTATGTGGAATAAACTACGGATGAAATAATCAACAAAACTATCATTAACAAGTAAATAATTTCAAAAGGCACAAAACAATGAAAGTAACATATCCAAAAAAGAACACAAATAATGTTACTTTAAATGTAGAATGAAAGGGCATAGGGCACGTATCTGTTGTACTGCAAAAGATCTTGTAGATCTCTATCAAAAATCACTAAAGAGGATGGACAAATTGGAGACAAATTTTGCTGATTATGATAGTCCAATTGATGTGATTCATTTGGATGTTTTCGATTTCTTTGCTTATCCAAATGGCAATATTGACCATTTGATTGGGTCTGGTGATAGAAGATATAGATTAGCTTACTTTATATGCTTTTAGTATTTTTTTTCTTTGTTTTATAAATTCAATTTGAAATATGCTTTTACTTTTCGGAAAAAAAGAGAGACTATTTTATGCATTGTTAATTTGATAATATTGAATTATGTTTACAGAACATCCATGTCCAAAGATAGGGAAAAGTTGCACGAGATTATTGAGAAATCATGTGAATGCATATTGCACTTTTCTGGTGGTCCGAATTGGCAAATTGAATGCAGCTTTAGGACATAAGTTGTTGACCTACATGAAAGAACTTTTGCATGTAGAAAATGTGAGCTTATAGGCATACCTTGCATGCATGCAATGGTTGTTATTATGGAATGTAGAAATGATACAGAAGAATTCATTGATAACTTATACATGATTGAGACATATATGAGTTGCTACAATAGTATTATGCAACCAATTAATGGTATGAGATTTTGGCATATGCTTGATGTCATACCACCATCGTGGACTGTACTGCGAAAAGGCAAGAGACAGAAGAATATGAGAAAAGGAGCAGAAGAAGAGGTAATAGTGCATTCGTAGGAGAAAAATTATATTTGGAGAATGGGTGGTTGACAATGACATGCTCATTATACGGAATCTGCCAATATTAGAGCATCAAGGGCACGAAAACGACTACGCTCGAAGCAATGTACATTAATAGGAACACATATTTGAATTCAATATTTTTTGTTTTTTAATGAAATCTGTAATGAAATTGTAGTCATTTTGCCTTCTCCATTTTCCAGCTTTTGTATGTTAATAATTTTGGGGAAGTTATGAAAATTATGTGCAAATATAGAAATCAGAAGATGACTGAACCTAGGCCTAATAGTGCATGATAACAACTCCATTTTCCGTCATTATGAGATTGGATAAGTGATCTATTTTACTGATAATTTCTTGTATAAAATTTATAGATTCCTTTTGATGATTTTTGTATTCCATTGTTGCAAGAAGCAACCATATACCCAACAAGATTTCGAAACAGCTATGTACTTAAGTAGACAGATCATTGGCTTTTTATTGAAGTGCAGTTGAATTATGATTTCGTCCAGTGTATTGATTTTGGAATGTATATTAAAAACATATTAGTATCTTGATTTGGTATTATATTTCGATTGCTTTTTGTAATCCATTATGTTTTTTTGTGGAATAAGCTTAATATTCATAAGTGCTTGGCTGCCAGGATAATCCTAGCATTCTTAAGTGCTTGACTGTCAGGATATATTTGCTGATCTATTTCAATGATTTATATTGATTTCAAGGACAAATTATTTTTCTAGCGTACTTAAAAAAGCCCATCTGTCTAAGAGACTTTGATGCTGTTGCACTATAGAAACTCAACTCTATCTTATGGTTCCAGCAAATTTAAGGCAACTGAGAATACAAAACCTCTCATGAAAAACATATACAAAAAAAATACAAATTGCCTATAAGAAAATTGACATAATTTAATCATAACTCAAAGGCTCGAAGCCATTAATGGATCAAAAGTATCAAGTTACAGTTAGCTAACTTTCTGCAGCAACAAAATAAGAAGTGTTCTCATCCTAATCAATTAAGTGATAATAAAATAATACAGAAGGATATAATCTGCACCATCAAATAGACTGAGTTCTAGCATAGTCATAGAGAAGGATAATGTCTTGGCAGTCATAACAAGTCCTTAACAAGAATAGACAAATTCACTCAATTTTGAATAAAGCAATAACTAGAAAACCTACTTTAATATCAAATAACAGAGAAGTTTTATAAGGGGATGGCAATAGACATTCAAATTACAAACACAAATTTCAAATTATTGGGATTCACCTAAGAATTACAAAAAAATTTCGTTTATTAAAAATGAATAATAGTAAAAGTTCTTCTTCATTCCCCAAAAAAAAAGAAAAAAATAAAAAAGACCGAGTACATCTTACCTAATTCGGCATACCGCTATTTACCAAGGAGAATTGCATTTTCGGAATATAGAGACTTTGTGTGAGATTTGGGACAAATGGATTGAAGATGTTAGGGTTTGAGAGATCTTGGAGAAGATGGTTCTTGAGATGAAACTAGGATTCTTGAGTTTAGAGATATGGGAGCAACTCTGATTTGGTAGAAGACTCACAACTTGGTGATTGGGTTTTAATTTTGCAGAAGTCATGTATTAAATTGGCAATGCCATGTTTGTGTTTCGCTGACGAGGACGCTGATTTGGCCAAACATTTAACACTTGGAGCGATTTAATCGGCCAGCTAAACTTTTCTTCTGTCACGTCGACACTTCAATTAACATATTTCAGCTGGTGAGTAATGGACAGTAACGGAGTAAAGTTCAATGGCCAGTGGGACAAGTTTGAAAGTTCGATAAGTAAGTCATGACATGGTCTAAAGTTCAGTAGTTAATAAAACATTTAACCCGACTTTTTTGTTATTTCTTTTTTGTTATATTTGAATTATGAAAGTATTCTTCTTTATTTAGTCCCTATTTGAAATCCATTATTACAAAACTCTTTATTCTAAATATTTATTTTTAACCATACATTCATACAATAAAATATTATATATGTAAATCCAAAACTTTTTCATACTTTTTAACTACACATTCTTCAAAAATTCACTATTTAAAACATTAATTTTCTCAAATAAATTCCATCAAACATGAGCTAAACTTGTCATTCAATTATAATTCAATCAAAATGGACTCAACTCATCAAAGTTGATTACCATTTGATCAATATGGACCATCATTTTTCTCTAATTTCGTTAAATCCATGTAAAAAAAAATACAAAAATAGGAAGTCAACACGTAGAAAGCTAGGGCCACAGTGAAGACAGGTCCGAAAGAGGTGAAAATGAGAATAGGACAAAGTGATAAAAGAGTTTTCAACCAATTACATTAGGAGTGTAGAATGAATATTAAAGTAAGGGTAACATAATTTTTTTTCACAAACTTGTTTCCAAAATGTGCTTTCAGGTTGAGTTTTAAACCTAAAAATTAGCCGTTACACATTTTTTAAGGATTTTCTTTTGCTTAAGAAAAATAAATACATGAGGTGCTTGGAATCTTGATTATTGGTCAATTTTATTTTATTTTATTTTTTACTTTTGACCAACAAAACATGGTAAAAAATTTGCCCCTTTGTTTACGTAACCTTTTTATGTTTATGCTTATATGTGGACCAAGTCAACATGAAGCCCTTTTTGTGCAGTTAAAAATCAAAATTTTTGTAAATTTTAATAAAAAATGTTAAAATTTGTAGTTAAGAATCAAAAGTTGTAGAATTTGTAGGTCACATGAAATATTTTTATTAAAATTAATTGTTAATTTTAACTTAAATTTTTATCAACTTTTTAAAAGACATCAAACAGAGATCAAATAAGCCGCATATATAAATTTGCATATTGTGCCAAGATGAGATTTCATCTATAACATTTAGACCCAAGTAAAACAACACGAAATACATACATATATTGTAGAATGGGCCCCCCGGGGCATAGTCTAGTGGTGTAAAGGACAGGAGTGAAGTTATTTCACGCCTTACTGGCAGTCACAGTGTGGGGGTTCGATTCTTGAAACATGAAATTAGACTCCTTGTAGGCGCAATGTACAGACAGCTCTTGTTCCATAGCCTGTTGGGACACATCCCACGATTTACCTCCCTCACAAAGCTCTAAGGTGGGGCGGTGGAGATTCTCAAGGTTGGGATTCAACCTTTATATATTTTAGAATGGAATATATGATTTTATGTTCCATCAAGTCAGTATTTCTTTACAAGGCAAAGGCTATCTGCAACAAATAGAAAAGTTGCCCTCCAAATTTCTGTCCACCAAATGGATGTCCATGTTACAACTTCTTCACAATTTTTCCTTACCTTTAAAGGAAAACATGATCTATATACTCTATCAAGAATCTACAATAAACTTTTCCGAAAATATTTGACATTATGGACATGTTTGATAGTACTATCTAGTTCAAGGTATCAAACTCTCGGTATATGTAAATAATTTATATAGATAAACCCTTTTAATTGCCTCATGCAACAATAGACAAGACAATATAAACATGCGTAAATACTACTTTCTTCTAATACTATTTAACTTGGAATAAACTGTGATAAGTGCGTTTTTATACACTTATTTAATTTACAAACATGACTAAATTACAAGAAAAGTGTTTGAATTGTGGCTTGATTTCGTTTGATTTGTATGTCGTAGGCTATATTGATGGACATGTTGGAATTCACGAGAAAAGATTCGAAAAAGGGTCAAAACGAAGCAAAGTGAAAGTTCATGGACCAAAGTACAAATACCCAAAAGTTGAACTAAAAGGCAAATCGAGAATGCAAATGAGTTAAGTATCAACTCAGGGATAATGAGGGATGATCAGGGGAAGAAAGACAAGAAAAGGCCCAGAAAGAAAAAAAAAGTCTAGGGACTAAAATGTAATTATCCAAAAGATGAACCGAGGGAGTAATCGAGGATTTGATTGAGTTAAGTACCAATTGGAGACTAAAATTGGTAGATGGAATGAGAAGAATGAAGAAACGAGGTCAAAATGAAAGAAAATAAAATTTGAAGACCAAAATGGACATTTTTGGAAGAACTACTACCATGTGACTGCAGAGTAGTACTTCCATGCGGTCGCATGAAAGGTGACCGAAACTTTTTTAAACCAAAAATTTCTTCTATGCGATCGCATAGACAAAATTCAAGGATCCATGCTGTAGTTTACTATTTCGTTGACACTCTTTTGGAACTCGATTGAGACACGATATAAAAAACTAGACTCGTCAGATTTTGGGAGAGAACGCATTGGGAGGCAAGAAACACATCTTGGAGAAGATTTTGAGTGAGAGTAACGAAGGATTTCATGAAGATTATCGAGATTGCATGCGAATTCATAACCCGGTGATATTTTATCTTCACGAAAATATGTATTCTGTTATTTTCTCCATGTTAGGCTAAATATTTTTTTATACTAGGAGAACAATGAACCATGTGATGTGATCTTTGGATTTCTAGTTTTGCACTTCGACATTAAAAAACATATTTGATTTTTTTGAATGATTTATATACATTAATTGACTTCCATAATTAAGTCTACGTAATTTTGTGATGTGTAGTGATTTATTTCTTGCATTCGAGAGAAGGAACATAAATTTGACAAGGTATAAATCATCGTAGAGTCCATTCGGTCCAATAGGAGGTAGAGATAGATATACCTCTATACTTTGCCTGGATCTTTAAGTACTCATAAAATCACATGTTTTCTTATATATATGCATCCGTCATAGAGATATAGGCTGGTGGTATATGAGAATAGGTTTAATATTGCTTGAGAGAGAGTGTTGAATAGATTTAGAAGCATTGATTTTTCAATAATTCAATCGTGTTGTACTATTGTGAAACTAGGGTTTAAGGTGATCATTGCATGAAAATTAATGAAAATTCACGATTCTAGTGTGTTTAATTTTCATTTGAATAAAATCAAATTGCTTTCCAACCATTTAATTGGCATTTTAGTTCGTTAAAACATCGTTTGCATATTTTGTTCATTCCAATAATCACAATTGCATATTTAGAGTTTTCTCTAAATTAAGGTTTTCTTAGGGAGAAAAATTTATTTTCGATAAATTGGTTTCGGTTAAGGCTATGTTAGATAAAATTGAACTGCTCAATCTCTGTGGGACGATATTCAAAGCTCTAAATTCCACTTTATTACTTGTTACGAACCATACACTTACGGTGTTTTAAATCAAAAAAATAAATTCGTGAACATAATGCGTCATTGTTAACTGTGAGTATGAAGAAAATAAACGAGCTGTTTAGTGTTATCCAATCAAAACTTTAGGGCTTCCTTAGACTCTAGGAGATCGACCAATCTATGTTACTGACAAGCATTCCTTGTTTAGATCGATATGATTTGAGCAATAATCATTTAGTTTACATACACCCTGCAACCAATCGATGAACAAAATAAGATAATCAAACAACGATTTGAAAATCATTGTAAACAAATGTCTAGTTCGCATAGACTATTTAAGGAAGCTGGAAACAGAGGGATGATGTTAGGATGTTGAATAAGTAATGAAAAACATACTCTTGTAATGAGACATATTTGGTACATGTTACTAGATAGACTCGACCTTACAGAACAAGACAGGTGAAATGAAAAATTTTGACATCCAAAAAGGATTGGACCCATTTTGTACCGAGAACGAAGAAAATCAAATAAATAAATAAAACACACTTTGTTTGGAGAGTGAACATATTGGTTATGATGTTGTCTTAGTGAATTATTGTTGGATATTGGTTAAATAAATCGAGAATTGAAAATCGATTAAAGTTCGTATCGATTTTGGCCAAATACTCAAAAGCTCGACTCAATCCGTTTAGGCAAAATTGTTTGCCACTTCGCCGCTTCGGGGCGCACAAATGGGGATCGACCTGCATGTATTGAAGGGTATATTTGGCATTTCGAAAACCAATATCGAATGAATGAGAAATTACGAAAAATGACGAAAATCAGTGAATAGACACCTTTTCATAAAGGTGCATTGTTTGGAAAGGGTGCATGGTTTGGCCTCAACCATTTCGTCCACACCCTTTCATGGTCTATAAATAGGACCCTTTGTGTGTCCTATTCCACACAATTTGATATGCAAAACATATCTCATCCTCTCTTCTATCCAAAATCAAAATCATTTCGTTTATTTTGATTTTCCTTCATTTCATTCTTGGAGTACATAAGCCTAAATTTGATTCGTTGTACTTGTGTTTTGGAGTGCTACAAACACAAGTGTAGCCGTTGTATCTTGAGAGTCGATTGCCGAAATCCGTAGGCACCGTTGCGGGGCAAATTCGACTTAAGGACAAAGAGTCCAAGTCTTGCCTCGGCTTTGTCACCATCATTATACTTATTTCGACGTCACTATTCACAAAATTCATCCAACAATTATCAATTTCAGATTTTTTATGTATAATGGGATCGAATTTCGGTTATTCTATATTTTTTTTAAACGATCAATTCGATTCTTGTCATTCTTTTTTATTTAAAAATATATTTAAATAATTTTTTTTTTTTTTTTTACGTATAAATGACATATATGAGAAATCGCAAAAGAAATTGTTAAGAATCAAGATCCCAGCTAATTATTCATCGATT